TTAAGAGCCTAATGGTAATCTCTGAAATCTATCTATGTTATTTGCAAGTTTTGAAGTCATTGGATTTATGGTGTTTTTTTTCCAATTTGAACTTTTGAGGTTGTTTCTATAATTTTAGAAATATTAAGGGTGTGATAGCAATTTTTAAATTCCTCGGGGGCTATTTTTAATTTTTAAATTTCATGTTTGTTGTTTTAAGTTTTGAAAAGTCAATGTATTTTGGGTAATTTTGAACTTTTAAAGCTATTTTGTGTAATTTTTTAATTAAATCTTAATCTTATTTTTTAAAATTACTGAGCTATAGGTAGTTCATGCGGGGTTAATATAGGATATAATTAGTATTACATAGATTAATATTTAAATAAAAAATTAAAATAATATTTCATGTAGTTTGTTAATATATTTTTTTAAATTGTTGAGCTATAAATAGTTCATGTGTGATTAGATAAGATATAATTAGAATTAGAATAGATTAAATATAAATGTAATATTCAAATTAAAGAAGTGTAATATTGACCATATAAAGATTTTCCTGAACTCGTGTTTTTAAAGGGAATATGATCTGCAAAGAGTTTTATCTATTTATAGCCCCGGGCCTATCTTCTCTTTAATTCAAATTAATTAGCTAGGATATTCAAGAAACAGGGGTTGCTATAGATACTGTGAGTGTAACAGAAGACGGCAATATTTATGTAAAATATTCTAGATACAAGTAGCAATTTGTACAGCACGGGTGAAATTTGATCGGCCATGATATTCGTCACGACTAAACTAGCTAGCCCGACTGATCAACTTAGCGGTGTCGTCATGGTTGGGCTCGTCATCGTCATGCGTCTGTGGAGTACTGGAACCCCGTTTAAAGGCGCTGGAGCTAGGTGCGCCTTAGTGGTGCATATGTATAGCAATATTATTCCATGGACTAAATTAATTAATTTGGCCGCGTACAAGAAAACCCTTGGCCTTCTTCTTTTTTATTAATTGTTCTACTTAACTAACTCCATTATCATATCATCAGTGCCGTTGTACTTTCTGTTTTAACACGTACAGCATAGATGGATGAATTTCTTGTTGGTTGCTATAAGCGAAAATATCGGTGGAGATGCTCTAAGACACGGACATTACACGTAAGTTAGGGATCGATTCGGGTCCGATTCGACCCACGGTTTGCGTTCGGGGTAGCCCGTGACTGGACTCTACGTACGTACGCCCCAATCCCACCCGTCCACGTAATGTAGGTCGTTCGGGCTCGAGCGTAGACTGGGCACTTTGCCAGCTGCCACGCGTACGTCTCCACCATCGTCACGAGGCTCAACGTTAATTTAATAAGTTAACTGACGACGTCTAATTCATCGCCGGAGCCGTGTGAAGCTAACGACGTAACTTCGCGCACGCCCTCGGTCAATTGGACATCACGGGAAGCGAAGCTAAAATCAGGACACGATGACGCCAGCCTCCGGTAACCCCCCGCGCGTGTGTACGTCTTACTCATGGATCACGTTCGTGATGGCTCCTCACATCTGTTGACGTGGCTCCATCTCATGATCAGCTGTCCTGTCCTATCGATCTCTCTCGCTCCCCTCCCGAGCCCGTAACCAAAAGAGTGGAGCGCGTAAGAAAACAACGTGAACACGCTATGACAGGATTTGCTGCTCTCCCTTGAACAGACAATTACGAAGGAACCACTGATCTCGATCTGCTGTTTGCGCTGCCGCAAACTGGGTGGTTGATTAATTTGGTGATCCTCCTCCTCTGATAGGGACCCAACCCATCGTGTAAACCTCACATGACGATCAATTTATATATATCCATCTTCTTCTTTATTAATTTAATTTATTATCTAATAAAAAAAATCCCAGCGAGCTGAAGAATAGGTCTTATTGCTCAACCACTCAGCCGAATGCAGGGCACGACAAGACTTTTTAAATCCGCAGCCAATTTAATTATTGATAGATACCTTGTTGCCCAAAACAATTAAACTACAACGTGCCTGAAATACAAATTGAACTTTGTGTGTCAATTAAACTAATAAAGAAATAAATAAAACTGATATGATATAGAGTAATTAATGTTGTTAAGTTTTTAATTAGAGACGCATAATGGTCGATGTTGTCATCCTCTCTGACTAAGTTGGCTTCCTTCCGTACGCATAATATATAATGACGGGCTTCGCATCAAAATCCTACGGTTCCTACCCTCTCCTCTGCCGCCATCGGCTGTTTGCGTGGTGTTAATATCCTAGTTACTTTCTTGTCTCTGTACAATGTATATCATATCATTCATCATTCATCTTTAATATTTAATTGCGAAACTGAGAGATAAGGAAAGGAGGAAGTCAAAATAAGGAAGAAAATTATTTGTCTGCGCTGGCTGCATATCCACATCCCACGTTAATCCACCGCTAAGTAAGCCACCGAGCGAGCGTATAATAGGGATGATGATGATGATATATTATCATCTAATTAAAAAAGTCAAACATAAAAATAAGAGATTTAATTAGTTGGGAACAAGGGTGGAACCGTGGAAGGAGGTATGCAAACATTCGGAAGAAGCTTCATACGAGAAGACGAATAGAGACAGCTGGCAGGAAGCGTATATACACAGTCAAATCTTTATCTTATCTTATAAATCCAAATCAATTACCGTATCCAAGTGCCTCGTGACAATTAATAGATAGATAGGATATTGTCGCGCGCCTATGCGAAAGCGTTGCACGCACACACAACGAATTTGAGATCACGGAAGAAGAAAGCCACACACTTGCACAAACCAAGAAGCGTTGCACGCACACACAACGAATTTGAGATCACGGAAGAAGAAAGCCACACACTTGCACAAACCAAGCCAATTACGACAAATCAAACCAAATGCCACACACTTGCACAAACCAAGCCAATTACGACAAATCAAACCAAATACAGAGATATACGTGGTTCGGTAATTGAAAGGACGAGCTTGAGATCCATGAGTGGGGTGACTTGATGAAGTACTTGGAGGACGAGCTTGCAATTGAAAGGAGGGAGAGTGGAATCGCTTTCGAACGGTCTTGAGTGGCTCTCCATAATGTCGAGAACCTTCAACTCCAATTGATGGAGGAGGTAGATGCTCACGAGAGGCTTTGGAAAGAGGCAACCCGCGTAGCGCTGGATGCCAAGAGACAACAAAAGTCGTCTCTCGCTAAGGTGCAAGAACTGCAGGATCTCCTCACCCACCTGGAATCCGAAGCCTATCAAGTTGAGATCGCGGATCAATACCGTCACAGTACTCTAGGCAAGGTGGAGGTGGATCTCGCTTGCAAAGCTGGTTTCAACTTCCTCCTGGCGCAGATTCCTTGTCGACTTGGACTAGATCCTGATCGTTTCTACTGCCCTGACCGCGTCTCCTTCTGCCTTGACTCTGTCAAGAAGGTAGAGGCCAAAGGAGGTGGACTAGTCCTGGACGCTAATAATGGGGACGATGAGGGTGAGGAGGCGGGTGATAGCTCTGATCGAGATAGCTCTGCTAATCAGGCTGGGGATGAGGAAGAGGTCGGGTCCGAGCTCGAGTAGACTCCTCCGCCGACTCCTGCCGCTGCTCCTGTTCCTGCTCCTAAGCCTAACGTCGCGCCTATTCCATGCCCTACTGATCCAAGTCAAGCTCGAGAACTTTATGTATCTCCTCTTTTTTCAGTGTTTGTTATGTATTTTTTTGCTCCTATTCCGATGTGAGTATCAATGTGAACATTTTGATATATGAATAAAAGTTATATGTATTTTGTCCACTCAATCTTTGTACCTTTATCGTCGGTGTTTTGATGTTGATCTGCAGTTTACCTCGTTTTTTTAGATTGGGTGCCAAACCATTGATGTCAGTTATCTAATAGAGATTATCTGTGGATTAAGTGAGGGGTTAAGGTTCTCAAGCTTCTTCAGATGGTCAAGTCAGTATTTGAACGTGAGTGGAGAAGAAACCAATGAACTGAATAAGTTCTTAGTCTAAGTGTGCAGAAATTACATACATGTGGCCCTGAAGGGGGCCTGAGGATCAGCCCACCTCCCGATCAGCAGGCGATGAGCGCATATATATACCCGGCTGAGAGGGGTAAATGCTTGACTGTCCGAGTCCAAGCAGACAGCTGGCTGGCAGATAGCTTTATTGGTGTCGACTGGTTGTGTCATGAGTTACTCTTGATTGGATTTGATGGTGATTGAGGGGGCATGACACTGACGATAGGTGGTGAGTTAGGGAGGCTAGGAGCACTAGCCATGATGATGGTGAACAGCTGTTGGTGTAGAGTTTGAGGACGAACCGCCTATCGACTCAGCTCTGTAAGTGGGCCGACAATTACCGTCTTTCTTGTCAGCCTCGCAAGTTGTCGACCTGACATTGAGGAAATGAGGGTGCGACGTTGACTGGTGAAATTGAGTGAGAGCCTGACTCGACTCCGGACCTACCTAGGGAAGAGAAAACAAGTTATTGTATGCTCTCGAGTCGCCCTAGCTTGAGAGCGAGCTGATTTGTTGACTAATATCGACCTGGGATACACGTCGTCTCCCACCGAGGGATTAACACTTGGTGTAATTATTGACATAACAAATGTGAAGTCAGTTTAACAAACCAAACATCGGGTCCCAAATGAGGGAAAATAAACTTGGAATGTCAAAGTTCGAGAGTATCAATTGGGCTATTGAAAATAAAAACTTCGGGGTAGAATAGTTCAAAACGCGTGAAACTTTTGGGGTGCATGCGCAAGTGCGATTAAGCCAAAACAAACGGGATACGTATTTTGGTTGGGAAGGGTGGGGGCGCGGAGCGACACTGGTACTTTGGATTCGCTGGTGCGGAAGGATGGGGTGGGAGGGGGGGTGTGTGGGGCTCACGTACTAGTAGACAAGTGAGGTTTTAGCTGCAACCTTAGGCTGGGAGAAGAGGGATAGATAAGGATAGTGAAAGAACATTGTTAGGTTAAAAAACAATTAAATTAAATTAAATTATAGAGGATGGAGATGAGATGACAGAGCGGAGAGACTACTACTATAAAAGGGGGAAGCGAGGGGCTTTCTCTTCTCCTCATCCCCTTGGTCACTTATTTTATTTTTATTCATTCGTTCACCAGCACCCGCCGCTGTTGCTGTACGGTTCTTTTGATCCCCTGGTTCTTTCCACCTTAATTAATTAATTTTTATTCCCATTTTCTCTCTTCCTTTTGAACTGTTATTTTTAAGATTAATATTCACTCAATTACTTGTCTGTATAATTCCTGATTACTCTCTTCCGGCAGGGCAGGTGCCCCGCCCGCTAGCTAGACAGCCTAAGCTCCTCTTTATTTTAATTCTTTTCCCCTTTAATTAATAAGGTCATAATAATTAGAGCCTCAACTCTGCTTCTTCGATCCTTCTCTGAGCTCTTGATATTCTTTCTTTTTCCTTGTAATCAAAATTAAGAAGGGGGGAGAGAGAGGGAAGGGGAAGAAGAACATTCATTTTATTTTGCTTCTGTAATTTGCTCTATATTTTTTTCCCCTCGTTAACGGTCTTCAAGAATCGCATGGAGGTTTTCTCAGTCAGTACTCGTATAGATCGAGCTAGCTTGTTCGTCCTGTTCTTTGCTTTTCCGATGCATTTAAAAATTAAAATACCGCCGGCTATTACCGTCTTTCGTCTTCGGAGGAGGGGATGACGGTAACAAAGTTATGCTTGCGTGTTCAACGTAGGCAACCTTTCAAATGCAATGATCAGAGATTTCTAGCTGCGACATTTTTAGTAGCTAGCTAGCTAGTATTTTAATGATAGTGGTAATAATAGTCATGCTTCTCTCATTACACGCAAAGGAGGGCAGCAATTAATATATATGTTGTAATCAGTTCCCGACAACTAGTAATCAATGCTGCCTACATGTAAGTGAGTAAGACTTCATTTTTATTTTTTAATTTGTGGTTTGACATGTGAAAACAGGAGTAGGATGGCAGAGAGCGGAGGAGATTTCAGCTTCACGAAGCGTGAGAACGGACCAGGAGCAGGAGCGGCAGGGATGAGCGGTAGTAGCGCTCAGAACGCGACGGTGGTGTCGCGAAGTGGGCTGCCTCGGATCCAGACCCACGCCAAGAACGGGATATGCCACGACGACAGCGCGGCCCCGGTGAAGGCCCAGACCATCGATGAGCTCCACTCCCTTCAGAAGAAGAAATCAGCGCCCACCACTCCCATTAACAACAACAACAAAGACAACCCTTCCTCCTCCTCCTTACCCTCCTCTCCCTTCTCTGCCCTCTCCGAAGAGGAACGCCAAAAGCTCCAGCTCCAGTCCATCAGGTGCCCCTCCTAGCTAGGCCTCCTCTTTTTCTCTCTCTCTCTCTCTTTTATTTATTTATTTATTTGATAGATAAAGGGAATAGGAAAATCTCCTCTCCAACTTTCTAAAAATTAAAATTAATTTGTCGATTCGGATGGGTTGTGGGTCCGTTTGCAATAATATATAGGTTACTTGTTAATAAGATCGAGCAGTAGATTTTCGGCTTGTTAGTTTATTTTGTTCGTGGCTTGAGCAATTTTAATTTTGTAGAG